ACCCACGTACAGACTGGCAAAGCGACTCAACGGCCTGGTGACCCCTTATGTCCCTTGCGCCTTCAGCCTGAAGTCTCCAAAGGAATTTGTTGACTTACTGCGGGACACACGGGCCACAGGGATAAGAGCCTCGTTGGACGTAGAATCACTGTTCACCAACGTACCTGTGGACGAGACAATCGGGATGATAGCCGACAGCGTGTATCGTGATCCAGCCTGTACTCCTCTTGACATGCCAGAAAATATTCTAAGGAAACTACTCCAAGCTTGTACTAAAGAGGCACCCTTCTTGAGCCCGGAGGGGCACATGTATAAGCAAGTAGATGGGGTTGCCATGGGTTCTCCCCTAGGTGTCCTGTTTGCAAACTTCTACATGGGTACCATCGAGCAAAAAGTCTTAGTCGACATGAACTTGAAACCGGCCATATACTGCAGGTATGTTGACGACATTTTTACACAGGTACCTGATGTCAGACATCTGCAGGAGCTGAAGGAGGCATTTGAGCAGAGTTCCGTGCTGCGTTTCACTTACGAGATGGAAAAGGATGGGAAGCTGCCCTTTCTAGATGTAACAGTCATAGAAAAGAGCGGAGGTTTCCACACTGCAGTCTACACTAAGGAAACGAACATAGGAATGTGCCTAAATGCCAACAGCGACTGCCCAGACAGGTACAAGAGGAGTGTTGTTAACGCATATGTCGACCGTGCTCTCAGCCACAGCTCAGAATGGAAGCAAGTCGACGAAGAACTCTGTAGGGTAAGGCAGGTCCTAGTCAACAACGGCTTCTCCAATTGTTTCGTCGAAGACATCATAAGAAGGAAAGTGAAACGCCATGCAACCTCTGAAGAGACAAATAACACAACTCCTATACCCCCTATTAGACTATTTTACAGGAACTTCTTTTCCACAGCTCATAAAACGGAGGAAAGGGTCCTGAAAGATATTGTTAATAGAAACGTTATCCCTTCAGGCAAAAATCAGAGGATACAACTGACGATTTACTATAAAACCAGAAAAACGGCCAGCCTACTCATGAGAAACTCTCCAGACACAAAACAGAACGCTTTAAAAGAGACAATCGTCGTCTATGCCTTCAAATGCCCTCTTGGGGACTGTAAGCGCCAAAAAACCCCGTATATAGGCAAGACAACAACATATCTTTCTAGGCGTTTAACGATGCATAAGCAACAGGGCTCCATTAAGGAACATATAATCTCTTCCCACAACCAAACCATGGCCAGAGAAATCCTAGTAAACAACACAGAAATCATCGATAGATACAGCGATAGCAGGCGGCTTGACGTTTGCGAGGCACTACACATCAAGAAGTCAACACCAGCAATCAACAGCCAATTAATGCACAACTATATTCTACCCACCTCAAGACTCCGCTCTAATATAGAAGCATCAAGAAATATGGACCAATAGGCTTTCTACAAATCACTTCCATTCAATACCTATTGTTTCGTGTTCTGTCTTGTGTTTAGGAATTTAATACCCTATTAATACATCCTCACCCCATCCACCTCACTCAAATGTAGATATAAAAACAAATCGAAGAGGTGTAAGTTCTATTCAGTTGTGTATGTGTAAGCTAAAGTCTTTGAAAATGTAATAAGTTTTACGAAACGCGCTCAAGTGTCGCGTCAGACTAGAAATAAAAATTAATTTTGGAGAATTGATTTTTGAATTACCACCAACAGTGAAAAGAAACGTACGAAAGATCGAGAAAATTCGTGTTAGAATTATTAATCTTACTTTTTCGGTCATATTTAATAATATATGTCTACAGGAAAGACTGCTACCAAAATATATATATATATATATATATATATATATATATATATATATATATATATATATATATATATATATATATATATATATATATATATATATATATATATATATATATATATATATATATATATATATATATATATATATATATATATATATATGTATATATATATACCAAGTTTTCATGAATTAATTGTTTTTCGACTACCTAACCTACCTAACCTAACTTTTTCGGCTACCTAACCTAACATAACCTATAAAGATAGGTTAGGTTAGGTTAGGTAGTGTTGGTTAGGTTCGGTCACATATCTACGTTAATTTTAACTCCAATAAAAAAAATTGACCTCATACATAATGAAATGGGTAGCTTTATAATTTCACAAGAAAAAATTGAGAAAATATAATAATTCAGGAAAACTTGGCTTATTAGGCAAATCGGGCCTTGCATAGTAGGCTAAGAAATGCGTTCTGGCTACTAGGTACGACATATATATATATATATATATATATATATATATATATATATATATATATATATATATATATATATATATATATATATATGTGTGTGTGTGTACTCACCTAATTGTACTCACCTAATTGTGCTTGCGGGGGTTGAGCTTTGGCTCTTTGGTCCCGCCTCTCAACTGTCAATCAACTGGTGTACAGATTCCTGAGCCTACTGGGCTCTATCATATCTACATTTGAAACTGTGTATGGAGTCAGCCTCCACCACATCACTTCCTAGTGCATTCCATTTATTAACTACTCTGACACTGAAAAAATTCTTTCTAACGTCTCTGTGGCTCATCTGGGTACTAAGTTTCCACCTGTGTCCCCTTGTTCGTGTCCCACCCGTGCTGAAGAGTTTGTCTTTGTCCACCCTGTCAATTCCCCTGAGAATTTTGTAGGTGGTTATCATGTCTCCCCTTACTCTTCTGTTTTCCAGGGATGTGAGGTTCAGCTCCTTTAGCCTTTCCTCGTAGCTCAATCCTCTCAGTTCCGGGACGAGCCTGGTGGCATACCGCTGAATCTTCTCTAACTTTGTCTTGTGTTTAACTAGGTATGGACTCCAGGCTGGAGCTGCATACTCCAGGATTGGTCTTACATAAGTGGTATACAGGGTTCTGAAAGATTCCTTACACAAGTTTCTGAAGGCAGTTCTTATGTTGGCCAGTCTAGCATATGCCGCTGATGATATTCTTTTGATGTGGGCCTCTGGGGACAGGTTCGGTGTGATATCAACCCCCAGATCCTTCTCTCTATTTGACTCTTGCAGGATTTCCCCTCCCAGATGATACCTTGTGTTCAGCCTCCTGCTCCCTTCGCCTAATTTCATTACCTTACACTTTCCTGAGTTGAACTTTAGCAGCCATTTTCTAGACATTCCTCCAGTTTATCCAGGTCATCCTGTAGTCTCTGTCTATCTTCATCCGTCTTGATTCTTCTCATAATTTTTGCATCATCAGCAAACATTGAGAGGAATGAGTCTATACCCTCTGGAAGATCGTTCACATATATTAGAAACAGGATGGGTCCAAGTACTGAGCCCTGTGGGACTCCGCTGGTGACATCTCGCCACTCTGATGTCTTTCCCCTCACCGTTACTCGCTGTTTCCTGTTGCTTAAGTACTCCCTTATCCACTGGAGCACCTTTCCTTTTACTCCTGCCTGTTGCTCCAACTTTTTTAACAGCCTTTTATGGGGTACTGTGTCAAAGGCTTTTTGGCAATCCAGGAAAATGCAGTCGGCCCACCCTTCTCTTTCCTGACTAATTTTCGTTGCCTGGTCATAAAATTCTATTAAACCTGTGAGGCACGATTTACCATCTCTACCATCATCACCATCTCTACCATCATCACACACACACACTCAGTGTGTGTGTGTGTGTGTGTGTGTACTCACCTAATTGTGCTTGTGGGGGTTGAGCTTTGGCTCTTTGGTCCCGCCTCTCAACTGGTGTACAGATTCCTGAGCCTATTGGGCTCTATCATATCTACATTTGAAACTGTGTATGGAGTCAGCCTTCACCACATCACTTCCTAGTGCATTCCATTTACTAACTACTCTGACACTGAAAAAGTTCTTTCTAATGTCTCTGTGGCTCATTTGGGTTCTCAGTTTCCACCTGTGTCCCCTTGTTCGCGTCCCTCCAGTGTTGAACAGTTCATTCTTGTTTACCCGGTCGATTCCCATGAGGATTTTATAGGTTGTGATCATGTCCCCCCGTACTCTTCTGTCTTCCAGTGTTGTAAGGTGCATTTCCCGCAGCCTTTCCTCATAACTCATGCCTCTTAGTTCTGGGACTAGTCTAGTGGCATACCTTTGGACTTTTTCCAGCTTCGTCTTGTGCTTGACAAGGTACGGGCTCCATGCTGGGGCCGCATACTCCAGGATTGGTCTTACATATGTGGTGTACAAGATATTTACATATGTGTGAACATATGTAAATATGTGTACATATGTTCTTACATATGTACATATGTCTTACATATGCGTGTGTGTGTGTGTGTGTGTGTGTGTGTGTGTGTGTGTGTGTGTGTGTGTGTGTGTGTGTGTGTGTGTGTGTGTGTGTGTGTGTGTGTGTGTGTGTGTGTGTGTGTGTGTGTGTGTGTGTGTGTGTGTGTGTGTGTGTGTGTGTGTGTGTGTGTGTGTGTGTGTGTGTGTGTACTCACCTAGTTGTGCTTGCGGGGGTTGAGCTCTGGCTCTTTGGTCCCGCCTCTCAACTGTCAATCAACAGGTGTACAGGTTCCTGAGCCTATTGGGCTCTATCATATCTACACTTGAAACTATGTATGGGGTCAACCTCCACCACATCACTTCCTAATGCATTCCATTTGTCAACCACTCTGACACTAAAAAAGTTCTTTCTAATATCTCTGTGGTTCATTTGGGCACTCAGTTTCCACCACTCAGTGTGTGCGTGTGTGTATGTGTGTGTGTGTGTGTGTGTGTGTGTGTGTGTGTGTGTGTGTGTGTGTGTGTGTGTGTGTGTGTGTGTGTGTGTGTGTGTGTGTGTGTGCGCGTGTGTGTGTGTGTATGTGTGTGTGTGTGCGCGCGTGTGTGTGTGTGTGTGTGTGTGTGTGTGTGTGTGTGTGTGTGTGTGTGTGTGTGTGTGTGTGTGTGTGTGTGTGTGTGTGTGTGTGTGTGTGTGTGTGTGTGTGTGTTACAGGAGGAAATGTAACCTTTAACAACTCACCAACTCATGGCAGTTGCGTGAGGGAGGACTGACGAGGAGCTGTGCCCAGCAGCACGTCCCAACCTGCAGTCAAGGGGAAAATAGTTCACATTATTAAGAATTAATAATAGTAATTTATAACAGTAGTATTAAAAATTGTAATATAATAATGTAAGTTACAGAAGTATTAACGTAGAATAGTAGTCGGAAACATTGATCACAGACTCAAAATTTGCAAGTATACTTTAGTCCTAAGCATTGTTCAGCATTAAATATATATTTGTGTGTATATTCACTGCATATACTTTGTATGTATTCATATATCATAAGGGAATTGGTTTGGTGTTGAGGTTAAAACCATCCGGCCTCTGTAGCATTATTTAGGCCTCCACAATTGCTTACTGACCAACCAGCAAAAATACACAGCCCGTCCTCCAAAAATGGGAAGGTAAATGTAACAGCCCAATATATGCAATTATGTACTATATATGACAGTCAGGAATTAAACTTATTTTCACTTTGTATTACACCGTACTGTCAAATATATTGTGAATGTTTGAGTTTACCTGAAAACCTGAATGGAAAACCACGACCTAATCTAACCGTCTTAGTTTTCGAAGATAAGCATTTTATTGCTTCTTAATTACAATTACTACTTAACCTATAGCTATATTGATATTTCAGTTTTATAAAACAAATAAAACAAAACTAAAATATTTCAATAAATTGTAAAGTAACTCAGGATATTTTCGAATATATAAAATCTCTTTTGTTTAATAAAACTGAAAAAGAAATTCCTGATATTTAAAACTTTTGTATAGCGAAATGGATTTTAAAACTTCACCCAAAAATTCTGAGTGTCTTAACAGAAAACGAGGAGAATAAATGGGAAGGTAAATGTAACAGCCCTATAAGTGCAATTATGTACAATGTATGGCAGTTGAGTTGGTGTTGTTTGCCCGTTTCGGCTGGTTGGGGGCGGGTGTGTCTCTGCTCGCCTGTGCTGACGTGGCGTTACGATGGGGGTCCCTCTACCCCCTGTCGTCCGGGCTCAGTCTGTGGGACTAGAGTTCTCTGTGCGGGCTGGTTACCTGGAGATTCCCCTGGCTTGTGAAATGCTCTCTGTCCCTGTGTTTGCGATTTATGGGGTCGAGTTGGTAACGGCCCGTAGGGCAATTGTGAAGTTTGCAGAGGAGGTGGCGTATCGCGATTTTCTCCGGCGATACGAGGGGCGGACACTGCCCCTGCCGGATGGTGCGGGCACTGTCACCCTCTCGGATAGGAGTGGTGCACTTACTTACATCAGTGTGCATGGGGCTCCCTTGGAGTTTCCAGAGGCTCTGCTACGGCGGTATTTCGGCCGGTTTGGCGCAGTTGTTAGTGTGAGAGTGAACGTGGTGTCTTCTAGTCCTCTTAAGGGTGTGAGGTCTAACATTCGCACCCTGGGCATGAGACTCCGGGCGGATATTCCGTCCTCTGTGCGCCTTATGGGGTACAACGTTCGGGTGTTTTACGCCCGTCAGCCGCGGACGTGTTATCGTTGTGGTCTTTTGGGCCATCAGGCTGCTGACTGTTCTGCGCCTGCTGTTGCACCAGTGAATCTCTTCAGTGAGGAGGATTTTCCGCCCCTTCCTGTGGGGGATGATTCGGTGGGTATGGACGTCTCTTCGGCTGAGGAGGTGCCCTCTGTAGCAGCTGTTGCTCCGCCTGTTGCGCCCCCTGTTGTTGCCGCTTCTCCTCCGGAGGTTGGGTCCTCGCCTAGTGCTCCAGCTGGTGTCCCTGAGCCTCTTCCGCCTGCCGTTTGCTCGGACCCCTCGTCTTCCAGTTCTTCCTCTGCTGTGTCTGTCCCGGTCCCTGCGCCCTCGCCGTCTGTTCCGGCATGCTGGGAGCTGAGGTGGTTCCGGCATTCCCTCCTGTGCCTGGCCTGGTGCCCCGTGTGGTTGAGGAGGCTGCCGTGCTGCGGTGTGCGTCGGTTCGCTCGGTTGGTGCTGCGCGGGTCGCTGAGTCTGCCTCCGGGTCTGATGATGTGCGGCCCGAGCCTAAGCGTTCCCGGCGTTCTTCTGCGTGGGCTGATGTTGGTGAATTCGACGAGTGTCGTCCTTCCGTTGACGGTGGAGTGGCTCCGGATGTGGTGCACACTACGGTGGTGGCGGAGGTACACTTGCCTGAGGATGCCGGTGCCGGCGTTTCGGCCTCACCTTCTGGTCCGGTGTCCGAGGGTCCTGCTTCAGGTGCGTTGCCTGCGTCGGATGGCTCCGGTTCTTCGTGGGCGGTGGTTCCCCCTGCTGTAGTTGGTGGTGAGCGGGGTGGCCTGGTAGTGATGTTGAGAAAGGATGCTCGCTCTGGATGTTCTGTGGCCCCTTCCTCGTTACCCGTTTCCTCGGCAGCGGTCTTGCCGCCTCTTCCGTTTCCTGCAGTCCCTTCCGTGTCTCCTGCGGTATCCGTGGACGTGCTATCGTCTCAGCGTCCGGCACCTGCTCCGATGAAGAAGGCGTGGCAGGCTCGGCGACCCTCGTCCGCTTCTCCGGTGTCTTCTGCTTCCTCGAAGGGCGTGGTTGGCGCTCCCCAGCCTCGTTATGCGACTTGCGTCAGTGACCTTGGGCGTTGGCCGATGCCGCCAGATATAGTTGTTCCCGAGTTTATGATACCCGCTCGAGCGCGGGGGGTCGTAAACCCTACCGACCTTGAAGATCTAGTCTGGGAAGCTTACAAGGCGAAATATCCTCATGAGCTTTTCCCGGAGAAGTACATTTCTCACGAGGTTCCTCGCAAGTGATTTCTATGTATTTTGTGTTGCCTGGTTGTGGGGTGTGTATGTGAGTGGGTGGGGTGGGTATTGTTTCCCGGTTCCTGCGTGCTCCGGTTTGTATTGTGGGTTTTCTTGTATGGCTAGTGGGGGGGTGTGCGGTTCCTATGCGCTTGTGTGTTCGGTTGTGGATGTCGTGTGCGCTTGTTTGTCATGTTGTGTGCCCTTCAGGCTGTTGGGGTGTGCTCTTTGTTATGTGTGCGAGGTGTTAGCAGACTTGTTTTGTATGTTTCTCGCCTCTCTGTTTCCCTTATGTTTGTATTACGCTGTGTTTATATTTGTGTTATGTTTGTATATGCATTTTTGTTTTGTGGTCAGCAATTCTGGCTGGTCTTCTCTTGATTCGTTCCTTTGTCATTGTACGTGTGTGTGCTTTGTACTTTTGTTATATGTTATATTTGTTCTGTGTTTATTGTACATTATACGCATGCTTGCATGTAAAAATAAAAAAAAAAATAAAAAAAAAAAATGTATGGCAGTCAGGAAATGTACTTATTACACTTAGTATTAAAACGTACTGTCAGTTCGAAGGATGGGTTGCAATATATTAGTTATGAACAATGACAACCCATCCTCTTGCTTAGATAGTGCTTTTCTGTAACTGTGTGCACCATAGTACAATCATTAACGTACTGAGCAAGTCGATTCGCTTTACATAGTTCGAAAAAAATGAAGCAAAAAAAAAAAACTTAAAATTTCCTATGCCTAGTATAGCACAAATATGAACTATATTAAGTCTCAGATAGCGCGAATTAGGCCTTGGAAGGTTAGGTTTAGTTAGTTTAATTAGTTTTTGGAACATAAGTGGAAAATCGTTGTCCGGTTTGTCCACATTCCATAGTACCGATTTCTACTTTCTAATTCCGTTGTACGTCGGTATATGTATCTAATTCTTCCTATAATTACTATCAAAACAGGAAGATGACAATGAACATTGTCCAGGACTAAATGTTTGTACACCGAGAAGCTGGACACACCGAGAAGTTCATCCCGGTAAGAAGTCTGATCTTGGGCTTAACGCCTATCATAATATAGAAGTTTATTAAGACAGCAAAAACATCTTGCTAACTAACCAGCAAGAACACTCTAGTCCAGAACAGTCTACGACTTTAGTAAAAATTGGGAGTATACACCAAGAAGCGGGTTACACCTCTCACTGTTTACATGTCCGGGGGAAGGGGGGGGGGAGGGGGAGTACCGTGATGTCACAGTCCCTGGTGTGCACCGGACTCTACCGCCAATTATCTTCTTAACTGCCTGTAGTACAATAGTACACATTTGCCTAAGACCACTCAAAGACTACACGAAACTTAACATCTTCTTACAAGCTATTAAAGAATGTTATAAAAATTCCATTGTTCAGTAGTACAATAGTACAAATTAAAGTCTTTATTTTGAAGATAAAAAACAAAACAAATTTAAACATTGTTCTGACCCTTGGCCATTGACCTTTGTTCTGTTCTGACAGGGAGCCGGTCGGCCGAGCAGACAGCACGCTGCGCTTGTGATCCTGTCGTCCCGGGTTCGATCCCGGGCGCCAGCTAGAAACAATGGGCAGAGTTTCTTTCACCCTATGCCCCTGTTATCTAGCAGTAAATAGGTACCTGGGTGTTAGTCAGCTGTCACGGGCTGCTTCCTGGGGGTGGAGGCCTGGTCGAGGACCAGGCCGCGGGGACACTAAAGCCCCGAAATCATCTCAAGATAACCCTGGCTGGTGCACGTTTGAATCAAATTTGAATCAAATCTATCAATGATCTTCGTACAAAATGAGATTTGAGTTCAAATCCGCAATATAGATCAAACGCATTTAAGTAATTTCATGATTAAGTGAAATTTTAAGGCAATCTTATTCCAAATTTGAGGCTTAGACTTAATTCAGTTTTCCTAATTACGTACAAGCTTCAAGGCATTCATATTCCAAAAATTTTAACTTTTACATATAGTGTTATGAATAAAAGTAAGCGAATTATTCTGTCTGAGGACGTCAAAAGTAATCGTAGCGATGCTCTTATAATTGAATAGTAAAATTTCACATGCTCGACATGTGTAACTATGTTAAGTGTTCGACATGTGTAGCTATGTTAAGTGTTCGGCATGTGTAGCTATGTTAAGTGTTCGACATGTGTAGCTATGTTAAGTGTTCGACATGTGTAGCTATGTTAAGTGTTCGACATGTGTAGCTATGTTAAGTGTTCGACATGTGTAGCTATGTTAAGTGTTCGGCATGTGTAGCTATGTTAAGTGTTCGACATGTGTAGCTATGTTAAGTGTTCATCATGTGTGTGTAGCTACGGTAGGAATATATTTATTTTATTACGAAGTTTCCCACATCTTTCCTGCAAATTAATCTTACATTGTGTAGAATATCATTTTAAAGTTAATGTACAACAATTTACAGCTAGAAGCGTAACGAAAAAGTTACTAAAATGATTGTTTTAAAAGTTCACATCAAACTTTAAATTCAGTTTTAGACGATGACATTAATGGGAAGGTAGACTAATACTCACAGTCAGGAGGAGTAGGAGAAGCTTGGCCATGCTGGCGGGTGTGTGCTGGTGTAGTGTGAGTGGTGAGGCTCACAGCCCTTATATACCTCACGCTCCCTCAACAGGAAGCCCATCCCACCATGTTTCACATCTAATTTTTTCTCCCAGGACGACTATGTGGACAATACATACACGAACACATGTTGCTCCAGGATGGACGTCTCACAGCGTTCCCCACCTTACACACTCTACCTTACTGGACACATTGAGGCTCATCACGGTACAGTGGGAAGTAAGAGCTCCTGGTAAGTGTCATCAACCAGGCTGTGATACTCACGACAGGCTACGAGGAGCCGCCACCAATAGCCAGGTTCACCAGTCCAGCAACCAAAAGGTCTGGTTAGAGCCAAGGCCGCAGGGACGTGGATCCCCGAAATCAACGCAAGGTAAACGCAAGGTAAGGTATGGCGAATATAAAAATATAAGAACAATATTCTAATTGTCATAACATTTTATCATGAGAGCGTTCCCTCGTCCGTGACACAGCTGACTGGTGCATGATAGGGTTGTCTCCAGCATGATAGTGCTGTTCTGAGCATGATAGGGTTATCTTGAGCATGATAGTGTTGTTTTGAGCATGATAGTGCTGTTTTGAGCATGATAGGGTATTCTTGAGAATGATATGGTTGTCATGAATATGAAAGGGTTGTTTTGAGCATGATAAGGTTGTCTTGAGAATTATAGGGTTGTCATGGGTATGATAGGGTTGTTTTGAGCATTATATGGTTGTCTTGAACATGATAGCGTTGTCTTGAGCATGATAAAATTTTCTTGTGCATGATAGGGTTATCATGAGTATGATAGGATTGTTTTGAGAATGATAGTATTGTCTTGAGAATGATAAGGTTGTCATAAGTATGATAGGGTAGTTTTGAGCAAATTAGCGATGTCTTGAGTGTAATAGTGTTGTCTTGAGCATGATAGGGTTGTCGTGAGCATGATAGGGTTGTCATATAATATGAAAGGGTTGTTTTGAGCCTGATAAGTTTTTCTTGAGCATGATTGGTTTGTCTTGATCATTAAAGAGTTGCTGTGACCATAATAGGGTTGTCTTGAGCATGATAAGGTTGTTATCTATCATGAAAAGGTTGTTACTATCATGCTCAAAACAACACATACTAGGCTTGTCTTTAGTATGACAGGGTTGTTTTGGGCATTATAGGGTTGTCTTGAGAATAGTAGGTTTGTCATGAGCAAGACTGGGTTATTTTGATGCTGATAGATTCCTCTTGGGCATGATAGGGTTGTCTTGAGAATTATAGAGATGTTTTGAGCATGATAGGGTTTTCTTCAGCATGATAGGGTTGTCTTGAGCATGACAGGGTTGTATTGAGCATGATAGGGTTGTCTTGACCATGATAGGATTGTCTTGAGTATGATAGGGATGTCATGTGTATGATAGGGGTTGTTGATCAGACCACTCACTAGAAGGTGAAGGGACGACGACGTTTCGGTCCGTCCTGAAGTATTCTCAAGTTGACAATCGACTTGAGAATGGTCCAAAACGGACAGAAACGTCATCGTCCCTTCACCTTCTAGTGTGTGGTGTGGTCAGGATATTTCAGCCACGTTATCGTGACTCCTCGTCTGCATGATAGGGGGTTGTTTTGAGCCTGATAGGGATGACTTGAGCATGATATTTTTGTCTTGAGCATGATAGGTTTGTCTTGAGCATGATACGTTTGTTTTGAGCATTATAGGGTTGTATGAACCATGATAGGGTTGTCATCCACATGATAGAATTGCGATGAGTATGATATGGTTCCTATGAGCATGATAGGGCCATCTTGAGCTTGATAGGGTTGTCGAAGCCATGATAGGGTGGTTCTGAGCATGATCGGGTTGTCTTGAGCATTATAGAGTTGTTTTGAGCATGATAGGGTTGTTTTGGGCACGATAGGGTTGATGTATGCATGATAGGGTTGTCTATTGCAAGACAGGGTTGAATTGAGCATGATAGGGTTGTCTTGAGCAAGATTAAGATGTTTTGAGCCTGATAGAGACCTCCTGAGCCTAATAGGGTAGTCTTGAACATTATACAGTTGTTCTCAGCATGATGGGTGTTTTCTTGAGCATGATAGGGCTGTCTTGAGCATGACCAGGTTGTATTGAGCATGATAGGGTTGTCCTGAATATGACAGAGTTGTCTTGAGCCTGATTGAGTTGTCTTGAGCATAATATGGTTGTCTTGAGCATGATAGGGTTGTCTTGAGCATGATAGGATTGTCTTGAGCATGATAGGGTTGTCTTGAGCATGATAGGGTTGTCTTTAGCATCACATGGTTGTTTAGAGCATGATAGGGTTGCCTTGATCATAATAAGGTTGTCTTGAAAATGATAAGGTTGTCTTGACCATGATAGGACTGTCTTGAGTATGATAGGGATGTCATGTGTATGATTAGGTTGTTTTGAGAATGATTGGGTTGTCTTGAGCATGATAGTGTTGTCTTGAGCATGATATGATTGTTTAGAGCAGGAAAGGGTTGTCTTGAGAATGATAGGGTTGTCTTGAGAATGATCTATCTTGAGGTTATCTTGAGATGATTTCGGGGCTTTTTTTTAGTGTCCCCGCGGCCCGGTCCTTGACCAGGCCTCCACCCCCAAGAAGCAGCCCGTGACAGCTGACTAACACCCAGGTACCTAATTTACTGCTAGGTAACAGGGGTATAGGGTGAAAGAAACTCTGCCCATTGTTTCTCGCCGGCGCTTGGGATCGACCCCGGGACCACAGGATCACAAGTCCAGCGTGCTGTCCGCTCGGCCGACCCGGCTCCCCAGGGTTAGGGGGAGTGATATGGTTGATAGGGTTGTTTTGAGCATAAAAACGTTGTCTTGAGCATAATAGAGTTGTTTTGACCATGATAGAGTTGTCTTGGGCATAATAGGGTTGTCATGAGTATGATAGGGTTTTCTTGAGCATGATATCATTGTCTTGAGCATGATAGGGTTGTCTTGAGCATGATAGGGTTGTCTTCAACATGATATGGTTGTCCTGAGCATGGCATGGTTGTCTTGAGCAATATAATGTTGTCTTGAGCATGATAGGGTTGTCTTGAGCATTATATTATTATCTTGAACATGATAGGATTTTCTTGAGTATGATATAGTTGTTTTAAGGATGATAGGGTCCTCTTGTACATGATAGGGTTGTCCTGAGCATGATAGGGTTGTCATGAGTATGACTGAGATGTTTTGAGCATCATAGGGTTGTCTTGAGCGTGATAGGGTTGTTTTGTGCAGGCTAGGGTTATCTTGTGCATGATACAGAAATTTTGAGCATGATAGGGTTATCTTGAATGTTAGGGTTGTTTTGATGATGATAGGGTAGTTTTGAGCATGGTAAATTTGTCTTGAGCATAATATAGTTGTTTTGACCATGATAGGGTTGTCTTGAGCATGATACAGTTGACATGAGAGTGATAGCGTTGTCCTTAGCATGATAGGGTTGTCTTGAGCATGATAGAGTTGTCTTGAGCATGATAGGGCTGTCGTCAACATGATACGGTTGTCCTGAGCATGACATGGTTTTCTTAAGCATTATAAGGTTGTCTTGAGCATTATAAGGTTGTCTTGAGCATGATAGGGTTGTCTTGAACAATATAGTATTGTCTTTAACATGATAGAATTGTCATGAGTTTGATATAGTTGTTTTAAGCATGATAGGGTCCTCTTGTACATGATAGGGCTGTCCAGAACATGATAGGGTTGTCATGAATATGACAAATTTGTTGGAGCCTGATAGGGGATGTGATAAGCATGATTCGGTTGTCTTGAGCATGATAGGGTTTTCTTGAGCATAATAGGGTTGTCATGAGTATGATATGGTTGTTTCGAGCCTGTTAGAGTCCTCATGAGCATGATTGGGTTGTCTTGAGAATTATAGAGTTTTTTGAGCATGATAGGACTTTCTTGAGCATGATAGGGTTGTCTGGAGTATGCCCAGGTTGTACCGAGCATGATAGGGTTGTCCTGAATATGATAGGGTTTTCTTGATCATGATTGGCTTCTCGAGAGCAAAATTTTGTTGCCTTGAGCATGGTAGGGATATCTTGAGAATGAGAGGGTTGTCTTGAGCATCATAGGGTTGTCTTGAGCATGATTTGATGATCTTGAGTATGATAGGGTTGTTTTGAACAATATAATGTTGTTTTGAACATGATAGGGATGTCACGTGTATGATATGGATGTTTTGAGCAAAGTTGAGTGATCATGAGGATGATAGGATTGTTTTGCGCAAGGTAGAGTTGTTTTGAGCCTGATAGGGTTGTCTTGACCATGATATGATTGTCTTGAGCATAAAAGGGTTGTCTTGAGCATGAAAAGGTTATCAGGAGTATGATATGGTTGCTTTGAGCCTGATAGAGTTGACCTGAGAATGATGTAATTTTCTTGAGCTCGATAGGTGTTTCTTGAGCATGATAGGGATGTCTTGTGCATTACAGGGTTGGCTTAAGAATGATAGTTTTGTCTTGAGCGTGATAGGGTTGTTATGAGAGTGATATGGTTGTTTTGAGCATAATAAGCCATCTTGAGTATGATAGGGTTGTCTTGAGCATTGTAGAATTGTTTTGAGCATAATAGGGTTTTCTGGAGAATACTAGAGTTGTTTTGAGCATGACAGCGTTGTATTGACCATGATCAGGTTGACCTGAATATGATAAGGTTGTCTTGAACGTGATAGGGTTGCCTTAAGCTTGATAAGGTTGTCATGAGAATGATTGGGTTGTCGTGAGCATGATAGGTTTTCATGAGCATTATTGGCTGTTCTGACCACGATGGGGTAATCTTGAGCATGATAGGGGTTGTAATGAGAATGATATGGTTGTTTTGAGCATAATAAGCCATCTTGAGTATGATAGGGTGGTCTTGAGCATTATTGAATTGTTTTGAGCATAATAGGGTTTTCTGGAGCATGATAGGGTTGTCTTGAGCATAGCAGCGTTGCATTGAGCATAAAGTTGTTCTGAATATGATAGAGTTGTCTTGAGCATGATATGGTTGTCGTGAGTATT